ATGTTAGGAGGAGGTTGTTTTTTGTTTGATTGGACTTTATTTTCATGAGTCTGTTGGAAACTATTGGAAATGGCCATGTTCTGTAGTGAAGACTTGATTTTTGAGGTAAGATAACCTGCATGTTTGTTTTTAATGTAATTTATTTGATTTGTTTAGATTGCATTCTCTGTATTGTAGCCTATATTATAAATTCATTTAGTTTGCGAGCGCTGTTGCGACTGAGCAGCAGAGCAGTTTGCCTCAGCTTTTCAAAAATGACAATAAACGTTTAAACTAACGTTAACTGTCTGTGTGATATGCTTAAGTTGTTTTATATCTATGGATTTTATTGTAGCCAAGTAAAGTGTTGATTTGAGAGGCTATAAATCAATCAATGGATCAAACATGTTTAACTCGCTGTCGGCTGCTTGGTCGTCATAAATTTTGTTTTTTGTTTTTTCTTAATTAACTTTATAAAGAAATGAAAATAAACCTACCGGTAAATACTTTGCCATTGAAAACAAAATATATCTGGTTGGTTTACTGACTGCAACATAGGTCAGGCTGTTTATCTTTTTTTTTTTTTTTTTTTTTTTACGGGCTCGGGTCGGACTCGGGCTGATCATTCTGATGAGCTGTCGGACACGGGCCGGGCTAGGGCCTGAGCGTCTCGGGGCAGGGCCGGGCTAGGGCCTAGATTTGAGGCCCGTGCAGGGCTCTACTTTATATTGTCTTTAACTACTATGTACATCAGAAAAAGTATATGGTACAATGTACTTATTGTGTTCATGTTGTATTGAAAAACACTTGCTGCTATTGAGGTTGGAAACAGGTAAGGTTAGGGACAGCTTTGGTAGGATGGTTAGGTTTAAGGGTAGGTTAAGGTGTAAAGGAAGGGTCAACAGTGTAATTACAGCTGTAATTACTTGCTTATATATACAGTATATATATATATATATATATATATATTTTTTTTTTTAAATATAAGTATAATGTAAAAAAAAAGGTATGTACGCAATAAGTGCATTGTATTCAATTAAATGTTAGCAATAAATTTTTTTAGTTACCAATTCAATTAAATGTTAGTAGCTAAAGGCATCTAATATAAAGTGGGATCAAATACTATACAATTGACAAAAAAAACCCCCACAAAATCAAAACAAAACCCAGTGCCAGCGCAGAATGTTGTCCTGTTGTACTAAATGTCTCAGTTCTGATTTAATGACATTACAGGCTTTCCTCAGAGGTTATGCTGAGCACTGAGAGAAACACTGCAGAGGTGTTGAATGGGGATTCCCTGCCAGTGAGCTGCTGTAATTTAAGTGATCGTATATGGAGCTGTCATCAGCGTTCCCACACCAACACTTTTACAGTGTAACATACTCCAGTCTGCAGTTTTTGCAGATGAGTGGATGGTCATAGATACATGGACAAATGCTACTCAAACTTTTAAAGGGATAGTTATCTCAAAAATATTGTCAATCATTTACCTGTGTGTTCTTGTTTTACTGCTCTAAAGGTAACACTTTATTTTGACGGTCCCTTTTGAACATTCTGTTGACTCTAAGTAACTTTGCAACTATGTCAACTACCTCTCATTAGAGTGTTAGACTGTCTGCTTAATATCTGCCAACTCTTTATTGTGATGCTCCTCCAACAGACATTCTACTGACTATAAGTAACTTTGCAACTACATGTCAACTTATTCTATCCCGAACCCTACCAGTCTACTAATACTCTAGTGAGAGTTAGTAGAGATGTAGGTGCAACGTTACTTATAGTCAACTGAATGTGTTAAAGGGACCATCCAAATAAAGTGAAACCCGTTGGTCTTCTGAAGTCATTTAATAGCTTTATGCGATGGACATAGTCGTTATACACTGATAATCTCCATTGCGTCAGATCTCATTCTTGTTCACATACAGTATATTCTAATGTGTCAGTGGTGCACAATTTTTGAATATGCATGAGATTTGCAAGCTATTTAAACTTGAATTTGGTCTTTTCCTTAAAGCTATCATATACTGATGCAGCGTCACATTCACTCTTTTATTGCTGGATAATGCATCTCTGAACAGGGACACGCAGGTTTCTGCAGAGCAGAACGTGAGCTGAATTTAAACATTAGGAGGTTGATTGATTCCCGTTATATCCTACATTTTTAATATACTCATATTATTGACCTATCTCTTGGCATTGATGTTTGTCAGAGTAATGAAATTGAAGGGATCACTTAAATCTAAGGGCTAGATTCAGGACATGTGTTTACTGTGGTTTGGCACAACAGACTGTGTGATTGTCCAATTATTTGTTGCATTTTGTGCTCAGTGTAACAGTTATGTTTCGTTTCAATTTCATGGACTTTTAGTTTGTTTATCTTCAGTTTACTGTTTCCTTTGTTCTAGTTTCCCGCCACTATCTGTTGTCATGGTGATTCATTTAAGGAGCACAGCATGTCAGCATTCAGTTCATTATCATTCTGTATTTAAGTCCCTCAGTTTGTTTCCTATTGTTTGTGAAGCCTGTTAAAGACTCTTGTTACTTAATCCTTCTTCTTCTTCCTTGGAACTAAGCATGACAGAATTCTGGACCAAAAGAAGTAAAATGGATATCGCAGCCTAGTTTATCGATCTTGCTTGAGAGAACCTCGCTATCTTAGAGTACACTGCCTAATTCTGTCAACTGGCTGTGAAAACGGACCTTAACAACGAGACTCTAAAGTCTCTGTATTGGACTGGAGCCAACTGTTATTCCCCCCTTGACCTACCTGACATGAGTGAAGGAACCTGGAGAGAGGCGATCCTCCATGTTTGCAGTGTGCCTACTCTCACCTGATGCTAGCGTTAACCGCCACTGCAGAGCCAGAGCACTTGCCCACCGCAGGAAAGGACCCCGAGCCCACCACAGAGCTGGAAACCGTGCTGATGCCCGCCACGGACACTGAGCCAACGGCAATGCCCACAACGGTACCGGAGCGTGAGACCACATCTTTTCGGGAGCTGAAAGTAGCTGCCCAGTCTGAGTACCGTCTTCTATCCATGAGCCGGTGGGAAATAGACAAGAGCTGGATGAGGATGACCGCCTCCCTCCTTTGATTCCACCCAGTCCAAAGCCAACATCGCCACTGGCCATAACCAGCTCAGAGACTGTTATACCATTGAAAATACACCCACCCTGCCTCCCTCTCCCACCTCCTCTGCCCAGGCTAGTCGGCACCTCTGCCCCGCCTTCGCTGGCGCCCTTCAGTTCCTCTGCTCCTCTATTGGCTTTTACCTGTTTGGATCCGCTGTGGACTTCTAGTTTGCCAGCTCAGCAAAGGTGTTCCACCTCAGACCTCCAGGCCCGTAGCTCCAACTCGGCCCGTCGAGCAGTCGACTCCGCCTTGGCTCCACCCATGGCCGTCGTCCGATCGGCTCGACCGTGCTTCCTTGTCCCACCGGCTCCACCTTGGTCGGACATCGCCTTGGTCGGACATTGGTTCGAGCCTTCAGCTGCGCTTTGGCTCTCCACCCGTTTGGCTCCATCTGGCTCCACTTTCCCTGCGGCTGTCTGCTCCGCCCCGGTTCCTTCCACTGGAGCTTCCTTTACCAATCCCTTGTCCGCCTCCTGAACCACATCCTCAGCCATTTTACGGCGCAAGGCTGCGCCTTTCCGGAGGGGGTGTGTTTTGTAACAGTTATGTTTAGTTAGTTCCATTTTCATGGACTTTTAGTTTGTTTATCTTCAGTTTCCATTGTTTCCCGCCACTATCTGTTGTCATGGTGATTCATTTAACCAGCACAGCTGTCTGCATTCAGATCATTATCATTGTGTATTAAGTTTGCTATTACCTTTACCTTTACCTCTACTTTGCTTTACTTTATTAAATAATGTTGCTACTTAATCCTTCTTCGTTTTCCCTGGAACTAAGCGTAACACACAGAATGTTACTTAAAATTGTTACAGCATAATTTAGACTAAAGATTTTATAGACAAATTTGATTGACGTACAGTATGACATTTTTAATTTTCAGTACAAATACATTATTTATGTACATATTTTAGTTATTTATTTCTAAAATTCTTGATTGATCAGATTCGCATGGCAAGTGCTGTGATTTTACATCTCTGGTTGAAATTATGCTATGCTTCATGTCTCAGAGGGATGAAGTGTTGATCCTGATCCACTGCAGCAAAGTCAGAGCAGGTCAGGTGACACATGAGGATGCTGTGCACATTTAACACTGAACACACAGTGACATCTAGTGCTCTCTTACGAAAACTGCACTGTTGCAAACCAACTGAGTCGAATATCAAGATGTTGCTTTTACAATTTTAGGTATCCATGTAACTTAGACAAGTCTCTTAATGTATTAACATTGTGGAATATCACATTCACACACATTCAAAGTTATTTTATGCTCTGTAGTTGTTCTTTCTGTTATTTTCTCAGGGTAAAATGAGGCTCTGTCATGTTGATTGTTATTCAATCAATGGTGTATTTGAATTTGCACTCACTGCATTTAGACTGCCCTTGGCTCCACACAGCACACTTATCCACTCAAATTTTAGTGCTTGAGCCAATAAGGGTTGACAGTTAAGGTCACATGACCCAAATATTTCTGCCTCCACTCCCTCAGACCAATTTGCATACACAACTACTCCATGGGAAAGAACGAGCCTTACAGCAAAAAAGACATCTGTGCATATGAACATAATTAAACATGATAAATACATCCACATGAACATAATTATGTGTTTGATGTTGTCAGCAATAAGAAAGTATTGCATCATCTCAGTCTGAGACTGTTTTATAGTTGGATGATGTAAGATTGTATTCCAATTCATTTTCTCAGTGAAGATTTATCTTTCTCTTGCAGTATTTGGAAAGTGTTTCCAAAGTGCTATTTACAGTATTATAAATCAAGTTTGCCTATAACACCATGTTCTAGTTTTTTAGAAGAAAAAAAGGTTTTATTTACTACTGTTTCTTCTGAATAACAGTAAAATATATTGTGCGTTTTTTCTTGTTGTATTGACAGGGACCAGTGACCCATATGTGAAGTTTAAGATCGCAGGGAAGGAGGTTTTTCGCAGCAAGACAATCCACAAGAACCTGAACCCAGTATGGGAAGAGAAAGTCAGTCTGCTGGTGGAGAGTTTGAGAGAGCCGCTCTACGTGAAGGTAAATGATAAATAACAGTTTGAGTGCTTCGCTCCAGTCATTAAATTGATTATGTAGAGATTTTCATTTGCTGCTGAGGCATTAGTGCTTATTTATTGTGTTTGATTTGATGCAACTAATAGAGATTGTAAAGAAGTAAATCTGTATATTTACACTTTAAACTGACCTCCTAAGTAACTCCTGCTTCTGTTCTTTGTCGTGTGAAATGACATGCCTGTCGTGTGTTTTCTATCCTCTGCAGGTCTTTGACTATGACTTTGGGCTGCAGGATGACTTTATGGGCTCTGCATATCTCTATTTAGAGTCCCTGGAGCACCAAAGGTCGTCTGATGCTTTGTGACACATCTGAAACACAATCAAAAGACACAGTCTAAAATTATTCACTGCTGCCACCTAGTGATTTTGCATGTGCAAACAAGCGCAATTATATTTAACTAAAACCATAAAAAAAAAAAAAAAAAAAAACTTGAATTAAAATAAACACTAACTAGAAAAAAATAAAGCCACTTCTCATTTTCATTTAGCTTAACTTGATGTACTAAAATAACTAAAACTGAAATAAAAAATAAATTAAAAAACACAATAAAATTACTAAAATTTCAGGTAAAATGAACATAAAAAAGGAAAATAAAAACAAATTCTAAATATTCATAACTGTAATGGTATCTCAATTATAGTAAACACATGAATGCTGTATGAAATAAAGAACATAATCTTTAATCCTGGCATGTATTTGGTTGTTCATACTGTAGGTTCTCTCTGTGCCCTTTTAGGACCTTGGATGTGACCATTGAACTCAAAGATCCCCACTATCCCAACCATGACTTGGGTTCACTGGATCTGACTGTCACACTTATTCCAAAAGAGGGAGACTTCAGGGAAACTGTGAGTTTTTCATTTTCATATCTCTATGTTTTTCTAGCTGATGTGTTTGGGCAGAGAAAATAAGCTGGAGGCGTGTGTAATGTGACATTGCTGGATCAGATGTGCCTGGAACATGCAATATTTACTCATCATCAAACCTGCATATATTAAGATGATTCCCGAAAATTCCCATTGTTTCGTATTTTTAGGAAAATACATGCATTCCGTTTCCATATTTCTGTCTACATGGTTCCTACGGTCAGGGAAAGCTGAAAATATCAGGGAACTTATTTCTTCTTCAGCTCTACAGTACAAAGAACATTAGGAATGGCTCTTTACAAGTGTAATCTCTATAATATGAATTTCATAAACACTTATCCAAACCTGTTCATTTTTGGAAAGTCATGGAAATGTAGGGTTGGGAGGATTTTATTTTTTTAAATGGAAATCTAAGGTAAACTACTACTCTCTTTGATTTCCACTATACCGTTCACTATAAGGTTTGGGGTCGTTTAAAAAAAATAAATGAATAGTTTTTTCAGCAAGAACACATTAAATTGATCAGTAGTGACAGTAAAGACTTTTACATTGTTACAATTTTTTTTTTCAGATAAATGTTGTAATCTTTCTATTCTTCGAGTATCCAGCAAAAAAAAAAAAAAAAAAAGTTCCACAAAAAATATTATGCAACTGTTTTTCAATATAGATAATAATAAGAAATGTTTCTTCAGCACCAAATCAGCATATTAGAATGATTTCTGAATGATCATGTGACAGTGAAGAAGTAATGATGCTGAAAATTCAGCTTCGCCATCACAGGAATAAATTATATATTAAAATAGAAAACAGCTATTATAAATACTAGTTTTACTGTGTTTTTGATCGAATTGATGCAGCGTTGGTGAGCATATAAAAGACTTCTTTCCAAAACATTAAAAAATCGTGAACAAAAGTATATTTAGGTTTTTCTAAGCAAATAGCATTATAGCATTTCACCCATTTGACCACAATACAGAAGACTACAAATTTGTTTTCTGGGCTAGATGTGCCAATGTCTGACCTGGAAAGGTTTTCTATTGCAAACCTCAGGTATAAATCTATTGTCTAATATGCTCGGCATTGGCGGGCAGAATTTAAATGAGAGGAGATGAATCCAGTTACCTATTAGCCCTGTCTTTACATATAGCCTAATGCAGTCATATATCTTGTTTTTTGCGTATAGTAATTGTTGCTCTGGATGAAAGAGTACTTATTGCTCAGCATGTTTAACAGGGACACTGTGAGTTTATAGGGGAAATAAGGGTGTTCTATGTAGAACTACACCAAGAGAAAACTTATATTAGTAACTTAAGCTCTAAGTCAATTTAACAAACATGTAATAAGTATTATTCAAGGCCACCATCTTTTGCTGTTTATTTTGCCTGATTAGTCTGATCAAAACATGATAGTGGCTAAATATGGTTTGGAATACTAAAGAACTGTATATGGTACCATATATAATACACTGTTTATATATACAGTATGTTTCTAGAAATGTATTGTGAAGCAGGATGAAAATGCAATGATAAACACTTCATGCAGTAGTATGCTACTTTGTTGTGACGTGACATTTTGTGGAATCTAGTTCATCATCACAGAAATAAATATGGATATTTTCCATTTATAATCCAATTTTGTGTGAATAAACAATTTTTATACATTTATGTAGTAATATTTTGGCAGCAATTTTGTTCTGGATATTTTGGGAGCAAATCATATTTTTAGTATCTCTTTATCAACGTATTAATTGTGAAACATCAGTACATTGCATCGTGGGATACAGTGATCTTTCAGGGTGCATACTGTGCAAACAGAATATAAGCAGGATGACCTCAACAATTAATTATGATCCAATAACACCTCTATGGATCTCTCTCTCTCTCTCTCTCTCTCTCTCTCTCTCTCTCTCTCTCTCTCTCTCTCTCTCTCTCTCTCTCTCTCTCTCTCTCTCTCTCTCTCTCTCTCTCTCTCTCTCTCTCTCTCTCTCTCTCTCTCTCTCTCTCTCTGTGTGTGTTATGGGTATGTGTGTATCTTTGTGTTGGTCAACAAAGCTTTGAACGACAACATTTTCTTGTTTCTGTGTGATTTAGTAGTTTTATTAGCTTATAATGGCTGCCCCCAGACCATAGCTCCCCCAGGCTGCCTCCTTATGACCCCTTGACTCTTCTGAACTGTATTCAGACAGGCTGTCAGGTTCACCTCTAACACCCTGTTAGAGAGGGCAAGGGGTGGCTTTATAATGCTTTGTCTCATTCACAGACCATGCTTATGAGAAGGAGCTGGAAACGATCCAGTAAGGTAATAACAGCATGAACTGATCCCTGCCTTCTCCAATTCTCTGCTCAGACTGAAGAGGGCAGTGACCCCAGCCCTTTTCATTTTTTACCCTTGCTTACTTTTATTTCAGTTGTAAAACCGGCTTTTGCTGACTTTATTTTCTATGTGCTGCAATATGCAAGGTAAGAAACGCTGCCATCTGGTGTACAGATGATAAAGTGCACATTTTTCAAGTGCTTTGTCCTGCCTTTAAATTTAAGGCTGAAATCAGATCCAAATTCAGAACCGCCATAGTTTCCTTTGTGTATTGTAGCAACTGACTGAGAAAATAAAGCATTCTCTGTTCTTGCCATCTTTATATTGCATTGACTGCACGGTGCATGTGCTGCAGTGTTCTGTGAGGAGATAATGCACTTTATCATTGTTGTACACTTTAAAAGTGTACTTGATAACAGTGAATATGCAGGATGTGATCAGAGCAACCACTTATTTATAACCTGGTGATTTTTTAGATACGTGTTCTTCTCGTCTTACCTTGAAAATGATGCATATTTTGCCTGATTATGTGCATTTGCCTGATTATGTGCCTCATTTTATTTTATTTTATTTTATTTTATTTTATTTTATTTTATTTTATTTTATTTTATTTTATTTATTTTTTTGGTAAATGTGTGTGGTGGGTCTGTGAACAATATCTTTTTCTAAATAAAACAAAATAATTTTTTGCTCTTTATTTCATTGCTTTATCTATACATCCAAATGACAATTTTGGTTTCTGAACTTGATATATTAGTATGAAATCTTATCATTACCTAAAATTATTAAAATTGAAATAAAGCTGAAATAAAATAAAATATAAATATTAGATTATAATTAGAAATGTTGCTTTGGAAACAAACTGAAGCAAATTTAAGTTGAAGCACTAAAATCGATAGCTGAAAACCCCCCACAAAAAAACAAAACAAATAACAAAAATCTAATTAAACTGAAAATATCAAAATAAAAGTTTATTAAAAATATGAATACAATTATAATATAATATAATATAATACTAAAATAACACTTAAATATTTGAAAAAGTTCTCAAAATAGCTGGTTGAATCATTATTTTCCTGTTGATCACTGTTTGAAACAATCTGTTTACAAAATTGTAAAGCGCTAAAAAAATAAAAGTGATTGACAGATAATAATCAAATATCCCTTTTTTTTTTAAAGCGTTAAGCTGTTCCTTGTCATCCTCACTATTGATCTTTAAGTTAAAATTCTGTTATAGTTTTAAACTTATTTGCATATTATTTTCTTCCTTGTGTTGTGAATGGATTTTGTACTGTATGAAAGTGGCATGTTGGTCTGGGACGGGAATAATGTACTATACTCTCTTTGTCTCTGGTTCATACGTGCATGTGTGAAGCAGACCTTTCTGTTGCCTGCTAAGTGAAAGTCCTAGTGTCAATGGTAATTTGTGGTCTTCAAGTGGAGTCCCAGTTTAAGACATTTCTAACACGCAACCTAGTTGCATTGATTTGCGCTACTCAAGAGAACAAAATGCACAGCTCTCAGCTGCATGTTCCCAGCAGAGGTCAAGTAACTCCTATTTTGTTTGGTCTAATGTTAGAGCCCAACTTTCAGAGAGGCCCAGAAACATGAAAGTGGCTCTCCAGCATGTGGATAAGGACGTCCTGCTGAAAGGCTTACCCTACCCAAGCCTTTGAAGCTCCAAAGTGGGCCATGTTGGCTGGGACTCGGGAATACTGTAACAGCGCTACGATAACTACTTTTACACTGCTCGCTGTGCACACTTGGGTGTTTCTTCTATTTATACTCCCTATTTCTCTTTCATTTCCAAAATACTGTAAATGATGATCTCTGTATATGCAAATCAATTTGTAATTGATACATCTCCAAAATTAAGATTAATGCACTGATATACAGTATGAATATAAAGAAAACTCCACCCTGAAGTGAGAGCAAGAACAAAACTTATGCTAACACAGCTGTTAGCCAAAATTACCATTTTTTAAATCCAGTTTGACTTAATCTGCTTCATGTTTTTTTTTTAACTTTTTTCCCTGTATCATTTCAATGAGATAATACAGCCTTTTTATTCGCTATTAGGGAACATCACATCAAAAATAAACTTCTTATTTTTGGTCAGTGTATAGGCAGAGCTCTGAATGCTCATGTTAACCCACACACAAACAGAGTCACTTTACAGTGGTTGTGTCAGTCAGCATACTGTACGAATATCTGGAGAGAATGTCATTAGCTGCCTGCTTTCAACATCAAAGGTGTGGGGGGGTTTTTTTTCACAAAGGGTTTGCTCTGAGTTTAATGAAATGCATTTTAAAAGAAGAAACATTTTAATAAGGACTCTTTATTAAGCACAGAGATATCTGTTAAAATAGTTTGTTTGGCAAGTGTCTTGCTGTGCTGAAGTCAAGCAGAGACCTGATGTTTAAAGACTGCATTTGCTTTGGAGTTATAAGAATAATCCCCCAAAAAAACTCATATTTCAACAGCCAAAAAAGAAGAAGAGAGAATTAAGCCGCTTTTCCACCACCTGGCCGAACGGTTCTCATCTCGTAACCGTTCCATTCGGTGCCGATCCGGGCCAGCCGATACGGTTACAGTTTCATTTTCCACTGTGGGGCTGATAATGGCCGCTCTTTGGAATGTAATACAAACTTGCAGTCATTAGGTGTTTCTCAATGTCAAGGATACTTCCTTGGCAGGACTCGTCCTTCCAAGTCATTTCCTTCAGAGGCTAGGCGAGGCTCCTCTTAGCATTCGGAGAACGCGTAAATGGAACAGGCTAGCAAGTGCACGTTATTGCGTCATTACGTCAGTGAAAAGGTCCGTTGGTCCCTGCTAAAAAAGACGAGAAAGCTATGAATAACGCTCCGAATGGTATAATATTAACGTTACATTACTTTGTACAACTTAAGTAGTTATTTATAAAAGAAATGCTGGTGACGGCAAACAAGCTAACAATTGTTAAAATGACAGGTCCGGTTCAGTTACCCATCAATAACGTATTAAATTAGTATATATTTGTATAATTTGTAATATCAATACGGTAGTAATTTGTACTGGCATTTAAACGTTAAACTTTACTTATATGACGGTTGGTATATAATGTATGGTAACGTAAATATTTACATTTGAAAGCATTTTGCCCCGTTATTGCTCCGACTTCGCTAACGTCCGACATTGTGTATTTTTTTAACAAGATAGCAAAGCTACGCACATAGGATTGTGGGCGATTTGAGAGCGCGAAGAGCGCGAAGTCTACACATATGCATCCTTTCCTGTGTATGGGATATTTTCCGAACGAAGGACTCAGTCCTTGGTTGAAATTCTGAGGATCCTCGACATTGGAACAGTCCTTCGACGGATGTCGATGACGTAGCATCCTCGAAATTCCGGCTTCCGAGGATCCTTCCTTGACATTGAGAAACGGCTATTGTCTTGGTAACATGACGGTTTACTGTGTTTACGTCACTCAAATAGCGCTTAATCAGCTACAGAGAAACAGGTAGCCAGACAACAGACAAGTGACCAATCCTGAGTGGCGACGTCACTTCATGGATTCTAAAAGAATTCCGGGCCGAGAACGGTTTGTAATCGTGTGCCGTACCGTACCAGGCTCAAGTGGAAACACAACTGGAACCGTTCCTTACCATTCTCAGAAGTGTTCGGCCTAACGGTGAAAAAGCGACTATAGTCTCGGCTACTGGTGTAACTCTTGTTCCCTGATGGAGGGAATGGAGACAAAAAATAATTTCAAAATTCCGACACTAGGGGTCACCCTTGAGAGCCCCAAACACCTCTGACGTATTCAGAAAAGGCCAATGGAATTGGTACGTGGAATTTGCATTCCAGGCCACGCCCGAGAACATACGGGTATATAAGGCAGGCCGGCTTGAACACACACTTCAGTTTTGTTCTGAGGAGCCAAGACAGCATCTCAACCCCTCAGTGAGAGTTCAAGTTGTGGCAGGAGGGACACAATGTCTCCGTTCCCTCCATCAGGGAATGAGGGTTACACCAGTAACCAAGACATTCCCTTTCTGTCTGTAACTTTCGACCCTGTGTCGAAATACCGACACTAAGGGATCTCTACACTAAACAACACAACTTGAACACGAGACAGGGCGGTGCAAATGTGGGCAAGCCACCACAAGATTCTGCGTCAATCTCTCGCCAATCCGAATCAACATTCACAGAACAGGATTAGTCGCAACCCACCGCCTTTTTTCGGGACAATGAAGTAAGGGCTTTGTAAAACCCCTTCTTTATCCCGGTCCTTCACCAGCAGGACCGCATCCTCCGCACCCAAGACAGGGTGCTTGCCAGACACCGAAGGAGAGCCTGGCGAACTGAATCGCGATTGCTCTGATGACCCATCACGATGGGTTGGAGCGCTAACACGGCTCCCAAACTCTGCGCCAGAGGTGTCAGAGGAACAACTGTTTTTGACATCTGCGGTAGAAATACCAGGAAGCTGTGCATCCCGAGTGTGCTGCGGGCAGCTCGACGCTGCATTCTGGCTACCCTCATCAACGAGCAGAGGAGCGTGCCTCGTGGCCTGGAGGCATCTTTCCGAGGCAATAATCCTAATCGCCTCAGTCTGCTTTTCTTCTGTCGAGAATTGCTGGGCAAAGTCCTCGACAGTGTTGCTGAAAAGGCCACCCCGCGAGATAGGGTGTAGAGAAAGCGCACTTTGTCAAGCTCCCTCACCTCCAAAAGGTAAGCCAAGGATGGCATTCTAGGTCCACGAATGTGGATATCGTCTGGCCGAGAGACCGTCTCGTGACTTTAGTTGCTCTGAAAGCAACCATAGTCGTGAACGCAGTTCCCGCATCAATCTCGGCTCAACACTACCCTCGTGCAGCTCTTTCAGAGCTTTTGCTTGATGGACCTGCAGGATGGCCATGGCATGCAGGGAAGAGGCGACCTGTCCAATGGCACTATAAGCCTTTATCCCTAAGTAGGAATTAGTCTTACCTAGTTCCACCAGGTGGCAATGTTTTATCTGTGCACCCTGAATAGAGAGACCGCTTTTGTGATGAATTCCAGCAGCAGATGCCCTATTGCAGAGATGAATGGATTTGTTTCTCTTGCAGAGTGAGAAGACGCTGGCTTAGGTTCCGAAGAACAAAGCTGATGTGTGTTTGCAAGCCAGCCTGCCTTATATGCCTGTATATCCGGGGGCGTGGCCTGGCATGCAAATTCCACACGCCAATTCCATTGTTTTTTTATGAATACGTCAGAGGTGTTTGGGGCTCTCAAGTCGGCCCCTACTGTCGGTATTTCGACACAATGTTGAAAGTGACCTACGTAAAGGGAACTTAAATTTCATAAAGTAAAGTGTATTAAAGTCCCCCTGTGGTGAAAATCAAGCTTTTAATGTTTTTTGTATGTCTATGTGGGTTTTTTAGACAAACCATGTGCAAATTCATAAGTCAGCACGATTGCTGAGTATTTTCTCCTTAAAGTCCCTGTAAAGGCAATTCTAAAAAAAAAATCTAAACACATTATAAATGTTAGAAATGTATTGCTAAAACACATTACAGAAACTGTGAACTGTGAAGTATTGAATTGTGGAGTTAGACCGTTAAACAGTTTTTCACCATTGCTGTGTTCCGGATTTTTTGGGCGGGGCTAAAACGGGGGCTCGATGACAAACTGGAGCCCCTGAGCTCCTGGACACGCCCCTACTTGATGACGCACAGGAGCCCCTGAGGCTGGCCCCTCCCCTAACAATAGAGCACATTCGCATCAGTTCGCCTCTCAATCGCGAGTTACTGTCAGTACTATTAGTTACTACACCCTACAGTTTGCTAGTAGCTAGCTATGCCTTCGTCACGGAAATGCGTACTACCTGGATGCGTATTGTGGTCATTTTACACCGGATAGTTTCGTCGGAGACAACTGGGATTCACTGATAATCCGCTGTTACTGTGAATGGGGCCGAACCGACTATCTCCCGCCTCGGCCTTCATCTCCCCGTCCTGAAAGCAATATCACCTAATATCAGCGTCGGCAGCTTTCCCGCGAGTGGGCGTGGTTTCAGCGCAGCCAGCGGACACGCCCCCAGCGTTTGAGAGCAGAGAATAATGCTTATTTTTTCAAGATTTTGATAGCTTATTTTATGCACCTGCAGGCTTTTTTAACATTCAAATTTGGCTGGGTGGCTAATAACACATTTTTCTGTGGTGTGACAAACACATACTTAATTTTGACTTTACAGGGACTTTAAAACTGGAGTGAACCAAAGACTATCTCAAAACCGTGGTTTGAAATCGCTGGTGTTTCTTACGTCACAAACTACCTTGTTACCAATCACGTCAACGTCTGATCGACAACGAGTGAATCTCTGAGCTGGTGTGAGTGAGTGGAGGTGGGGCTAATTTGCATATTCATAGAACCGCATATACTAAATGAGGCAAGGGTGTGGAGTTTAAGCTATTTTAAGACATGAAGAATTTTTGCCTCATTTCTTTTAATCATTTACTCACTCTGAAGTTGTTCCAAACCTGTATGAACTTCTTTCTTCAGCTTAATACAAATGAAGATATTTTGAAATCGGTAATCAAACAGTTGATGGGCCCCATTAATGTCCATATAATTGTTTTGCCTCCATACAAGTCAATCGGGTCCATCAACTGTTTGGTTACCCATATTCTTCAAAATATCTTCTTTTGTGTTCAGCAGAAGAAAGAAATTCATACATGTTTGGAACAACTTGAGGGCGAGTAAATTATGACAGAATGTTTATTTTTGGATAAACTATGCCTTTAATTAGGACAATTAAAACCTACTTAGTAGTAGACTTTAGCATCTTTTATTCTCTCATTAATGTAAGGCATAAATAAATATATGTTTTTTTTTATAATGCTAGTATTTGTTGTACTACATTTAATTTATTCTTAATTTAATTATACAATAGGCTTAATTTTCTGTTCTGCAAATTAATACTGACGTTTTTTTTTTTTTTGTGGATTAAATATAACCTAAACATTTCTTCATGAGATTCACCCTATATGTGGACTGTATCTTAGAAGAGGTTGATGAGACTTCTGTTGTTTATTTCATATGCTACCATTCAAAAGTTTGGGGTCAGTAGGATTTTATACAGCAAGAATGAATTAAATTGGTAATAAGTGACAGTAAAGACTTAAAATATTAAAGAAGATTTCTATTTCATAGAAATGTTTTTTTTTTTTTTTTTTACTTTCTATTCATCAAAGAATCCTGCAAAAAAAAAAAAAAAAATTGTGGTCATGATTCCAGTATTTAGAAACAAAATTAAGAAGACAGTTGTCAGATTTCAAATCTGAAATGTATTCATAAGCTTGGTGAACAGATTTGGAGAACTGCCCGAGATGCGTTTCAAAGATGGCCGCCGAGTGAAAGGAATAAATTACATTGTAATATATAATTAAATAGAAAACAGTTAATTTAAATTGTAATAATATTTCACAATATCACTGCTTTTACTGTATTTTTGATCAAATAAATGCAGCATAAAACACCGTGTCCTAACCAGACGTGATGCGATAAGATTCCAGTGACAATCTATTTGCCTGTCATAAACTCACGCGACTACGAGATGGAGATATGCGTAAAAAAAATTAAAAAAAAAAAAATTTCATAGACTGTAAAAAAAGAAATGTGTCAAAATCAATCAAAACCCACAGCCAATCAGAACAGCGTGTGGGCAGTCTCTGGCGGGCAAGTGCACAGCATATAGAGTAATCTTGACGGCACTCGCAAGAAAACGGATAAGTAACGTTATATAATCAAATTCACAAATATTACAACATTTCCTTTTACGGCTAGCTGCTACAAAGCTGGGAGCATAAACGTTAAATGATATTCAAAGTCACATTACACGCTTTTAACATTAAACAAAGCACATAGCCTACACACATTACCTGAGCTTATCATTGCCACACTGTTTGTTGTTCCAGTCGCGACGTCGCAGAAAAATAGAAACCGTTTCTAAAATAGAATCGTCTGGTTAGGACAAAAACTCATACTAACATGGAAAAGATACCTTTTATCGCGTGTCGCTAGGACACGGTGAGACTTCTTTCAAAAACATTTAAAAAATCTTTCTGACCTCAAACATTTGCACAGTAGTATGTTCATGTTTTACGTTAACTTACTTGAGGAAAGATACCGTTGACACACTGATGTCTGTGTTTGCTGATGTCTGTTTGTCTCTGTTTTTGCAGTGCTGTCTCTGTTTATGTTTTCCTTACTTACCCCAAAATATGCCTTTCATGTTGCTGAACTTTATGCACTGTTGTACATTGCATTTTTAACCACAAACACATTGTTTGCTGTTCACATTTAATTTTTTGCATCTTTTTTAGTCATTTCACTGACTTTCTCTTCACATTGGTTTGTATCCTGCCTGACGTGAGTATGTACGGGTGTGTGTTTGTGTCACATTGCAGCATCAGAGTCTGAGGTTATCAGACATTCACAGGAAGGCTCAGCTGTGGAGAGGCATAGTTAGCATCAGTCTCATTGAGGCCCATAACCTCCAGCCTATGGACGCCAATGGCCTCAGTGACCCTTATGTCAAATTCAGAATGGGACATCAAAAGTACAAAAGTAAGGTATGGTCCACATGAGCTGTATTCCAGTTGTTTGTTGTTCATTTGAGACTTTTTCTTTCATGTAATGTAAATTCTAATCGAGTGTGTTTCTTTTCTGCTGTGCAGACGATACCAAAAACACTAAACCCCCAGTGGAGAGAGCAGTTTGACTTCCACCTGTTTGATGAACAGGGTGGTTTCATTGACGTCACCGTCTGGGACAAAGATGCAGGGAAGAAAGATGACTTTATGGGCAGGTTGGTCATGCACGTGGCTTTTATTGTGTAGGCTATATGGAGTTTTGTTATTCTCATGTTCTCATGGTCTGATCTGATTAATTATATATCTTAAATATTGTATCTTTTTGGAAACGTGGATATGACATTCACTGCAGTAATATGAGTGGGGGGTCAAAAAGGCCTATTTGTTTTTGAAGGAACTTACTATGCTTTTTAGCGGTGGCTCTCAGCAAACTTCCAAAGGGGGTGCAAGATGACTAATAATTTAAAGTAAGACAAAAAACAGCTAAAAATCAAGCAGTAAACTCAAATAATTTATTGTAATTGAACACATGTATTTGTTTGTTTGTTTGAAAACCTTGATATAGGATGGACATTTAAAAGTGTGATTTTTAGACCTGGGAAAGTCATGCAAAATAAATCTTAAAACAGTTTTAAAAATGTCTATAATGAATATGCAGTTTTCTAGTTATGCCAAGCCCTAAAATATTTTATTGAGAAGAAATTATAGAGAAATTGCCATTTGTGAGTTAAAAAACACATTTATTAAACACTGAAGAACATTCAGTATTTACAGAATTTTCTTATTTTAATTGTAATATCAGTTAATATAATTGTAAAATATCTTAGTCTACCTTTGAATGAATGCTGAGAACCACTATAAAACTGAATGCATTTATTTTTATTCCAATCACTTAAATAATTTATTTAGATAAAATGCTATGTAATTTAGTACAATAATCAAACTCTTTGTGTAATTTTAGGCTTTGATCTCTGATCATTTTTGTTTCATGGGCGAAGCTAACAAGATCTTTTGGCGCATTTTTGCTTGTTTCGACTTTTGATTAGTGGAATTTTCTGTAATGTAATTTTTCATCTCGAATTCTGCTGTTTAAACATGATTATTTATAAAGTAAGTTAAAATAATGCAGGCTAACGGCTTTAAATAGTATCGATTAACAACCCTTGTATAGCCTACAGTAAGGCAGTCTTTAAGGGTTTATTAAAAAAATAAGTTTTTGTTTTGGGAACCCGAATGTTGCACTCAATTAAATAACAGGTCTGCTGTATATATGGCAGTCATTCATGCTCCAGTCTAAACTGTCCTCTCGTAGACTGTGTGTGTGTGAAAAGAAAGAGGGTCTTTCGAGAGTCTCAGCCTCTGACAAAACCCCATTAGAAGTGACAGCAGAGTTAATGGCTGTGCGATGTGGGAATGAGGCAGCAGTTTACTTCGTTTCCTGTCTGTCCCCTACACCAGTCGTCCAGCTTACAGTCGTTCATAGAGGTGGCATGTCAGGATTGGTCGGGTGGCATTCTTGTAATTGGCTATTTCCCCCCTTTAAACACTCATCTGCTTAAGTTGTTCAGCACTGATGTTCACATTATTTACCCCATTCAGGATCAATTGAAGAGAAAAACACATTGTCACAGTGGGAACAAGCAGAGGAATATTTATGAATTATTCGCTGAGAACACACTGTATTCTATAGCAGTTATTTAGCCGTTTACTCTCTTGTGCTTTCTTTCTGCCTCTTGCACTTTTTCTCTCTTCTTCTTTGTTGCTACTAGAGTGTTGGGGAATGTTGATAAAAAGTGATCAGTTTCTAAATCAGATAATAAATCGTAACAGGATCGCTCTGTTTTAATAATCACATTAAAATAGGTCTCATATAGACCTTATGTAGCCCCGCCCCTTTTCAGCGCTGCGCTCGTTGTCTTTTGACTTCCGGTCTGTATTTTCACAGCGATCTTGCATAGGTATGAATGAACTGCTCGTAAAAAATTTCCTGGTCGACATTTGTTAAGACATCTGCTTTACAATGCTTATGATAAACATTACAATGCTCATGATAACTTTTGTTAACTCTACAATAAGTAAATCCACTTCACCAGCTAATTACTCCTGGACAGCGATGCCATAGAAATATACAGAGCGACCGCAAAAACAGAAGTTCAAAGACAATATTCTAAAGATGACGGCGCCCACATTTCTCTGGTGCATAAGGTCTATAGATTTCCAAGATAAGTTTATACATCCATACACTACTTTTTCTTTTAAATCATAATACATTCTGCATTTCAGTTTTGACTTGGAAATGACTAAATCATTTCTTCCCCAACACAAAATCACCTGTCATGTCAACAACATCACTTTTAATTTTCACCATTAAACTTCACAGAGTATTTGTACATTTGTTTTTGACCAAATTAAAGACCCAAATTTTAACAAGAGTGCCATTTTTAACAAAACCAAAACCATTTTTTATCAAATTATAGTTTTTTAAAAGTTAGTTTACTTGTTTACCAAGGAGAGAACAGTGTCAGTGAAGAGCTTGAGATGCAATATTAGATGTAATTTTGTTCAAATTATGACAAAAGTTTAGAAGTAATATTTAATTGTACTGTATGTATTTAGAAAACATAAAATGCAAGCAATAAAGTTTACTTTAGCATAGCAACATTTTTTGTACAATGTCCTTTCTGTATTTTCATTGCTGTCATTTCCATTACAAAATGACGATTTTGTATAACATCTGAGATGCGGAGTAAATTACATTAGTGTATAACAGTTTGAGTGATGGGGAAACAATTATAGAAAGTGTTTTATGTAGTTTAATTTCTCAAAGGCAGCATGATGCCCTCAGTAAAATAAATACCCATTTGTTTAACATTTTGTTTCTCCAATGCTGGTGATTTAGCTTTTCCTTTGTTTCTCTCACTGCAATGTCAGTTTCTTTCTTTCCAACTGTATCTTTCTATTGTTTTACACATGAAAACCTGCAAGACAATATAAGATGTGATATGATGATTATGATGGTGTGTGTGTGTGTGTGTGAGTTTCAGGTGCCAGGTGGACCTCTCTCTTCTGTCAAAAGAGTGCACTCACAGACTGGACGTGCCTCTGGATGAGGGCGAGGGTACGCTGGTGCTGCTGGTCACCCTCACAGCCTCTGCTGCTGTCTCCATCGCTGACCTGTCTGTCAACATATTGGACGACCCCCGTGAGAGGAAAGAGATTCTTCACAGATATGTAAGGACAAAGATCTTATATTCAGAAGAACACTGGGAGTGTACAGCCAGCAAGAATTATGACTTGATAAACTTGCTAAATAGCATCTTAAAGGGATAGTTCACCCAAAAATGAAAATCCTATCATCATTTACGCACCCTCATGTCAATCTAAACCCACAAGACTTTCATTCATCTTTGGAACAAAAATGAAGGTATTTTTGATGAAATCTGAGGAATTTCTGTCCCTCCGTTGACAGTCTAAGCAACTACGTCACTTCAAAAAGTCCATAAAGAGAAAAACTAATTTCACATATAAACATTCATCAACGCACACATCAGATATGGTAAAAGGAAGCTCAAGCATGCTTGCTTGGTAAAATGTTGAATGAATTTATCGGGTTGTTTTAAATATTAAGCATCACATCATAACACTAGTTACATGTAATACATTTTACTATTACTAGAGAGAGTACTCTGAAGTGACATCAATGATCAGTAATGTAAACAATCGGTCATGATTATGTGTCACGTGATTTTTTGCTTAATCTCTACTTTTTTCTTTAAAAAAACAACAACAGGATCCTCTTAAGAAAATATTTGAGATCTTAAGAATTTGAAAATATTTTACAAACTTGTAAAATACAAGTGTCGCTTGTGTTTTAGAGCGACACCACATCATTTAGTCCAAACTTTCTGTCCCTATATCATCAAAAATAGCGTTCTGTTAAAGTACCGTATTGAAGTGTCCTCTCTCAGAGTATATGTGCCTCATATGCATAGATGGAGCTGAATTGCATCTCAGTTGGCGCTGGGTTCTCAGACCTGGCAGAACCTCAGTGATATGACCTCCTTTTGAAAAGCGCTCAACCTCTGGGGGCCAGAGATTGGTTCAGGCCTGTAGAGAGACGGATCGGGCCTCCCCGCTCTCTGAGGAAAGGGAGAGAGGTGCTGATTTGGGATAGAGAGCTGTGAAGGAGAGCAGTAGTGGGGGGCTGTGACAGGCTCTTTTCAGGCAGGGTGTGCTCTTGAAAAGCCCAGGCTGAAAGGAGCCCAGTGTCCCTATGCGGAGGCCTTTGGCCCATCATGGCCCCGAGGCCCTCCAGTCCTCACTTTAGCACAATGCTCTCAGCCTTTCGCTTTGTCTTTAGCCCGTTAACCCTTCGTTCGCCGCTATTTGCGGCTCTCTGCCACCTCTTTACATGCCAATAGCGAGGGACAGGGCTGAAACAAAAGGGCCACTTTTTGTTCACACTCTTGTCTGCTCGATACAGCTGCTCTCAGGGGTGTAACGCGTCAGAAGATGCTTTTGAATCGCAACCGTTTTTAGAGCCCTAACGTGTTTAGTTTTGCTTTCGAAGGCAGTGTGTTTCGCTAACCTGGTTCTTGGCGAAACACGGGTTTGTGCGCAATACTCTGCTCTAATTGAAGTGGGAAGTCATGCTGGGAGATGTGTTTGATCTTCGGTTAAGTACCAGTGGAAAACACTCCACAGGCCAAACGGCGGACGGGTGACCTACATAACCGTGCACATTACGGGCTACCGGCATCGTGCTCTGCGCCGCCACCTTGCGCCCCACGTCCACTAGAAGGAGCTGTTGGATCAGAATTGGAAGGAGAAATTTGTGTCTTCTGACAAGGAGGGGTGGTGGTGGGGGGGGGGGGGATGGGGTACTGGTCGCTGAGATAGGAGGGGCTGGTGTGCAAAATGAAAAGAAAAGCTATTTCACCTTGCACAACACCAGTCTTTTTTTTGTGGCAAAGGATGGATGTTCCGCTCCCTCATTCCCCACCCGCTCCCCCACCTTGTTCTCTGCATCCAGGCATTCATTAGCACCCTAGCCTGCAGTCCGATGGGGACAGATATGCTCCAGAGTAGATGGGGGGCTAAATGGAGGATGGGACAGTGGATTAAAAAAAAATACTTTAATTTGTCCCCACTATTAGCATATTCCCCGTTCCCTGCTTGACACCCGTTCACAGAAGTGAATTTAATAGAGATGTACCTTATCAAGCGTGGCAGATAACAGAAAGTGCCGGTGTTAGTGCCGCACAATATGCCTTAAACAGATTATCCCAGGCAGGGTGGTGGTCCAGCCGTATGTGAAAGTGATGGGGCCAGGGGCACAAGTGAGAGCGTGGGCTTCCAACGTTTTCTACCTCTCTATCGCTGTTTGATCAGCTGTCTGAGGATAACCGAATAGCCACCCATAACTAGTTATCAACGCTTGCTGTTAAAGTGCTAGGGGGGCTGCCTCCAAACAAATAAAGTGTTTAAGAACGGGATGTTGGGTGGTGGAGGTATAGAGATGCTGTGAAACTGCAGATGCTCCAATTTAAACTGTGGATGCCCTCACTTGTCGGGGATGGGGGGTTGCATAGAACACAATTAAGTATTTTAAATGCAGCATTGCACCAGGCTCAGATACATCATTAAAGTGGAGGAGGCATATCAGATGGCTTTCAGTGCTTTGCACATAGGGTGTGTGGGCACGAGAGCTTTGTCAAGGTTTGTTAAAGGCACAGAATGAAGACGTCTGTCGCCGTTTACCTGTCATTCAGCACGTCATGCCACATCTCCAACTCTTTGATTTACTCCACAAGCTTTACATGACAGAGACCTAGGCAAAATTAATGTATGTTTTTCATTTAGCTTATGTAGAGATTTCTGCCTAAAGTTGAGGTGGCTTGATTTTTCTGTGTGCGCACAATACATTGTTTATGAGATCGGTGAAAATTGGTAACCCTTTACATTAAGGTTGTATATGTTGAATTAGTTAAGGCAATAGTTAAAATGTACTTGTGCAACATTTATTAATCATGGGTAATGTTAATTTGATATTTATTTATTTATTTATTGGCCTGCTAGCAAATAACAAAATAATAATAATGCATTATTTATATATTTATTTTTATTTGCCTTTAATAAGTGCATAATAAAATATTAATTGACGATCCAACAATTAACAGTAATAATAATAATTCATTTTTATCTACATTTAATAAACGCATAAATGCAACTATTGATGAGATAATAATGAACAATATAATAATAATAATAATACTTTTATCACAATAATGAATGGGTAAAAGTATTCATTTATAAGAATTAATAAAGAACAATAGTATAATAATAATTGTATTAATTGAATTAATTAATTCACATTAATAAATACATAAATCACATTATTTGAGTCGTTCTGGATTTTAAAAATGGAAAGACTGAGCCTCAAATACGATTGCATCTTTTTTAGAGCTCATGAAGCTTAGTCTTTAAGCAGTTATTTCGCAATATTCCCAGAGAGGAAGACTGCATCTGTCTACACTTCACAGCTGTTGTTGTAAGCTGAGAGAAATTATGCATTTTAATAGTAGTCAGGTGAGTGCGGGCGACTCGTGTGTAATGGACGTTAATGGGCATCAGGGCCAGGGTGACCTCTGCTGAAGTGGTGGCGCACAATTCCTCTCTGGCCCTGTCACTCGCTTCCAAATCAAAATGTGAACAAGTAAAGCAATGTGTGTGTGTATGTGTGTAAGGATGGGAAGTAGGAGGAAAGGAGGGAGAGAGCAGCAAAAAGAGAGAGGCAGGGAAGAGGGGGGTGGAAGCTGTTAGCATTCCATTTTTATTATGACATTTCACAGTCATCCGATTTAATGTCCCCTGACCGGATTGTCCGGCTGGAGACGGTGGGCTTGAAATGTTATTTAGAGCATTGATAAAAGGTGAGCGCCTGCGAGATGACAGCGAGTCATAAGGCTCCGCGCGGTGACATTCATTTTCTCCACAACAGAGATGGAATAAGACGTCACGGTGACAAGCTGTCACTCAAGACACAGCCCCGCCATCTCACCCCTCCCCTTCTCTCCCTTTTCGGTCCCTACTGTCTGGTTGGGGGTTAGAAGGGGTTCTGTGTGTGTGTGTGTGTGTGTGTGCGCAAGTGTTTATGTGCTACCCCTTTCCTGTAATGGGACTAAACCGCACTCCTCCTCAGCGTACCATATGAGCTGGCCTTGCCTTGCCGGCCCCAAAGCCGAGGGGGGTGGGAAAATATTCTTCAGCCTTTCATTAAAAAAATAAAGAGGCCTCATCTCCCGAGCTTTTCAATCTCCTTGCCTGTCTTTTTAGGGGACTGAAAAGCCAGCACCCTTTGCAAATCAGAAATTCCTCTGCTATGGAAATGCACCAGCTCCAAAAAAAAGGGTCACTTTTCTTCAAGGTTGCAATAATCATAAATAACAAGCCCTTGATATCTACTGAGAAATCATGTATTGAATGTATGAGGAAAAATACATTTTCCCCCTCAATCATCACTTGATTTTTTCCCCCTCCTCTTCACTCGTGTGCTATCAGAGGATTTTTCAACAATAATATCGTTCGTAACAGGCGAATGCAGTCCGAGTGTATAATGAATTAAGTCTGCAGCCTGGCCCTGCACTTGAGAATTCAAATTATAATTATTCCTCTGGGTATGTGCAGGGCTTATTGCCAAGAAGAGAATTAAAGTGAAGTCTCCAGTGCTTTTGAAGGCGCACCAGTGAGATTGTGTCGTCTCTGTCAGTCCAGGTCCATTCACTCTGCACACATGAAAGTGTCCGTCTAGAAATGTCACAAGAGTTACTTCAACTTTCACTCTGTGGTTCATATGGAGGGAAGAAATGTACAGACATATTTTATTTAATGGAGAACTTTCCATCATTGTGAAATTATTAGACACACATGCACAGGCGGTTTTATTGGTCAGAGGTGTTTTTTTTTTATAGCCCAGGAGGCTTCTCAGCTTTGCGTCATTTAAAATCCTTAGGAGAAATTAAAACAAACAATTGAGACATTTGTTGGCTTAATTGTTTAGAGCTTTAAAAGTGAATTGACATAATTAGAGCTAAGGAACCATCTATTTTAGAAGAATTAGGTACAGAAAAATATATATATTTGCAGATGGTATGACACAACTTGAAACATCTTTGAGGTCTCTTTTAAAGCTTCAGAGGAAATATTATTACTAGGATCTTTTTTTAGAAGAAGGAAAAAATTTGAGGAACAGAAGACTTAAGTCTGTTAATTCGCTATTTAGTTTGTGATATACATATATATATATATATATATATATATATATATATATATATATATATATATATATATATGTGTATATACACTGTATACATATTTATTTTTGTGTGACAAAACTGTACACTATACAATGTAGAGAAAAGGGAGGGGAATAGAGAGAGAGAGAGAGATAGATTACTCATGCTGTGACCACACAGTTAGTGTGTGATGCCTAGTTTGTTTCATGGCTAAATGTCAGCCCCTTTAATGCTACAAAAGACACACAAAGGAACTGTAATGGAGTATTATGGTCTCTCAATGAGAGGCTTTTATCGGTATGAGCGTAATTGACTCGCTCATAAATCATGCTTAAGTGTCTTTGCTGATGCACTTGTCTTTGAGCAGTTTATCCTCCTCCCGAAGATTTACCGTTTTAGAAATTATTGGCGTCTCTGCTAGTATTTTCTGTTTTACTTTTCATTTAATTGCTCACAGTTATTAGTTATCTGAAACTGAATGACTAGAATAAGAAATTCTTTTTTGGATGAACATGAATGTGAGTATGGACACTCTGATAGTGAATTGATATAACTTGGGTTTGACTGTTTCATTCATTTTTATTTCGTTTTATTAATTTATTTTCCTCTTCTCACTGATTACTTTTTATATGCATTTGTATTTTAAATGCATCTGTATTTGTTCTAAATCTTGCGTCTACGTAGAACAAGGGAATATTCCTGTATCGGACCTCTAGACAAAATGTATTCTAGTTGACTGATTTTTGTTTAATATTTATATCATTTTAATTCAGTAAGTAGTATGTTTTCTTAAACCTACAAAATTCACAAAGTATATACGCTAGTTGCAAAAAAGTATTTGGGACAATTGTGCCACACTTAAAAATGTAAAATTGTTTTTACATTATAAAATGGATGTCATTTCATATTTATTTCATATAGTACAAAGTGTAATTTACTGTATTTTACTGATATATCGCACAAACACAAGCAAAGTTTTATTTAAGTGAAATTAGTGTTAAGTAAAGATCTAGTATCATTTGTTTGCAGATGCCTTTTCTTTAATATTTTGTTATTGTGTGCTTTGAAATTCATTCATTTTTTAGCAACTTAAATGATCAGATGCTTCTCAGCATTGTTTTCCTTAGCTGTGTGGATATGGAGTCTCATATACTCTCAAATGCTTTTTTTTTTTTACCCTCTTTGACCTCAACAGAGTCTTCTCAGATCCTTTAACAATATTAAAGATGTGGGCATGGTGCAGGTGAAGGTGATCCGAGCGGAGGGGCTGATGGCAGCTGATGTTACAGGTAAGGAAAACCCTCCCACACACACACACAGTGATCCTGACATATGATTTCTCACTCCGTTTTCCGCAGTTACTGATAAAGACTATCATTTCCCTTGGAATGGTCAGCAGGAGGCTGATAATATTGCATTCTGCTCTGTGCTAATGGATTGTTGGCTTCTGAGATCACTGTTCCTCTTAAAGTTTTTTTTTTTTTGTGCGTCTGCTCTGGTTTCCATTAATTCTTACTTTTAATTAGGTCTGCGGTGGACAGGCCTAGTTTCTGGCACTATGAATTATCAAGTTGAAAAAAAAGATTGGAGATGGTACAGTCAATTGTTTCTTATTCGGAGTCGGAGTGAGACATTAACAAACACACTTACCTTGAGTCATTTATTAATACTACACCAGAATTAAAATCTAAATGTATTAGATTTGTTTTTTGTCCTTTTTTTGCCATTTGTTTTGAGAACGTGACCTCATTGCAACTGAACCAGATGCTGTTTGTTATATTCAAATAAAGATATTTCTGTGTGCCTTTTAACCGTGCTTAAAGTAATGCACCACCGTTCAAAAGTTTGTATTTGTTTGTATTTAAAAAAAAAAAGAGATTAATATTTTATTTAGCAGCGATGCATTAAATTGATAAAAATTTATAGTGTTACACAATTTCTGTTTCAAATAAATGCTTTCTATTAATCAAAGAATCCTGAAAAACGACCTGAAACATATTTTGCGGTTTCCACAAAAATACTAACCAGCACAACTGTTTTCAACATTAATAATAATAAGAACTGTTTCTTGAGCTCCAAATCAGCATATTATACTGATCTCTGAAGGATCATGTGACACTGAAGGCTAGAGTAAAATTCAGCTTTACCATGACAGGGATAAAATACATTTTAAAAGCTATCAAAATATACTAATATTATTTTAAAATAGAAAACTGTTATTTTACATTGTAATGATATTGCACAAAATTAACATTTTTCTCTATTTTTGATCAAATAAATGCAGCCTCGGTGAGCATAGAAGACTGCTTTTTAAAAATTCTTAGCATAAACGGTTGTGTAGTTCACCCAAAATTAAAACAAAATCCTTTATGCACCCGTACGTTGCTCCAAACCCACATGACTTTTTGAATTCTTTATTAAAAGATGTAGTGTGTAATTTCTGCACCACTAGTGTCACCAAGCACAATTGCAAAAAATAATGGCTGTATTCACTGTATAAAGTGCTGTATAAACACTCTGAAACATCTACCATTGGTCAAACCTAGAATTGGCAGTTCTGGAGTTTCTGGAATTCAGTTTTAATGAACATTAAAAGCTATTAGTTTAGCTTTGAAAGTTTTGTAGGCAATGTCAGTCCTAAGTTTGATTTGACCACTTGTGTGAAACAAAGCTGAGAATTGCAGCACAAGAATATTAATCAAGGCCGCACAATCGTTTGCAGATGAGGTGCGAGGCAGCAGAAATAAACTGGAGCGAGAAAGAGCGAAAAGACGGAGAGAGAGAGTGAGAGACGTAGAGGTCATTAGCACCGTCACTCTTAAGGTGGAGCATCTCGCGAGGTTCCTCTCCGCTAAGCGCTTTGCGTTCTCTGCCTCTCTAATCGCCTAATCGACGCCTTTAATTAAGACATGCTCAATGGCAGAACACCCCCCCTCCTCTCTCACACCCTTCAGCCTCCCCCTTCCCGCACAGTTCTGCAATCACCCCTTTACTCGCTCCTCTCCGGGAGTCCGGCCCACTACGTTGACCTCGTAGCACGGTCTGGCGTTCCCTGGGGAACCGCGGCCTCCTCATGAGCTCTGATTTCACACTCCTCTCCCGCCACAAAGCGCCGGCGCACAAAGCTTTTCTAAGAGCCCCGGCTCGCTCACGGACTCACCGTCTCAATCGGCCCTGGCACCGAGGTGTCAGCCAACAAGGTTACGGGCCACGGAACAGTGCCTTCTCTAATAGAGAGCTCACTGGAGACAGGGAGAGTCCGGGAAAAGTGGAAGGAGAGTGGACATAAAAGATAATGTGGGCGAGAGGGAAAGAAAAAGAGAGGGAAATCTTAGTTCTCTTTCTTGCATCACCGAGTGTGTTTTTTTTTTGTCCCACCCCCCCTTTCTGTCTGTTTTTCATTGTAATTAATTGAGGCTTTTATCTGGAGTGCCTCCACTCCAGGCCAGCAGGATAAATGGTGACAGTGTGTAAAACCAACAGTATTTAGGGACAGGAGACTGCTTTCCTTCTGAATAGACCCACTCAATACTTAACATAGATCACTTCAGAGGCAATTTCATTAACAACCAGTTTTCAAACAACAGTAGGAACTGTTCTGCCCTCACTGCCATCAGTGTGTTTGTATATGATAATCCTATGGCCGGTTAAATGCTCCACTCTGCTTAACACAGTTCCTGCATTTCATTTAAAACGCCTTCCAGACCTGAAAAATGTAATTACCGTTTTGTACGTCAGCGTGCCGCACACTCATCAAATTGCAGCCGGAATGAGGTTGAACTCATCTCGGCGGTCTGTGAGGATTTGCCCAGAATTAACCCACAGACAGTGTCTGCTCGGCCACACCTGGGGAGTCAAAGTTTCATTCAGTGCGAAGCGTGTAATTTGCTCAGACAGCTGCCTCACCAACACGTAGTAGTTTGTCGCCGAGGATGACCGAGTGTCACCGCGAGGATATTGAATAGGGTTGTACATTCCTGCGCCTATCAATATACATTCATTTAAACAGATGCAAATTATTTTTGAATGCTGAAAATATTCACAATTACTGTCAGTCATGGCAAATTAAGTATTTGTGTGCATAAATTGTAAATGAGTGCTAAAGTTGATCGAAAATAGGAGCAAGATATTTTTTATTATTCTTTTTACAAACATTAATATATATAATCTTATTTTTATCTCCAAAATGTATTTTTGAAACCTGTTCTGCTGTATTTTTTCCTTACAAATAGTGCATATTATACAATATACTGCACATGCTTTTTTCTGTAAACTGAAATTCACAGTCCAGATTGCGGCAGTAAATTTAGTCAACTAATTTGATTATATCAGACACATAATAGTGTAATCATCACATTTAAATACAATACTGATTATAAATAAATAAATAAAAAATATATTCAGGCCGATCAATATACCCCTGAAATTTATATGCTTGGTGACGGCAAGGACTTTCCATTGATCACTCTGACATTTATTTTACTTGTCAACTAAATGTCTTTGCTTCTGTTATTCATATGCAGGAAATTGAATTATTCTGTATTGCAGTTTAATTTTGCTGCACGTGTTGCAAAGCCATTTTGAAATAAAAGTACCATTATGAATGCGTTTCTTTTTTTGCCCCAGCTTTTAAAAATTCTGTTCTGCAACAAACAACAAAATTGCTCCCAATTGTTTTGTTTGGAGGTTTATTTAATGACTAAAAAGTTTAGATCAAAGCTAATATGAAGAGTTTGTTGTTTAAGTTTTGGTTGAGAACAATATTCCTTTAAATTACAAACATTTATTTACATGTGTATATTAATAGTTGATTTCAAAGCATGTAGGACAGCGGATTACATAAATATGTCTCTAGAGCCGGCTTCTTATAATAATGTATTTTGTACATGACTGAAATATTATATTGTACTTTAAAACAATATAATGATAAAAAGAAAAAAGATCTCTCACTTCAAGCTTTTTAATTTATTAATGTGAAAGTGTAATGTCCTGTCAGCAACTGGAAACAGACTCATATTTACAACGGTCTCTACTTGGAAAGTTTTCTACAAATTTCCCACATTCAGACCATTTGTATTTAAGTCATCATCCCCGTCTGCCCTCCGTCTGGAACGAGCTGTGTGTGTGTGTGTGTTCACACCAGACATAGACAGAGATGTCCTCACGGTGCTCTAGGGCAGCGCAAAGGCTGAAATGCTTATCTACCTCTGTGCAAACCACTGTGTCAGTGTAACAACAGGAAACCACGCCACACTGGGGCAAAATGAATATATCAAATTAGCTCTGTGATAAGTTGCACCTAAAGCTTTAGCCTGCGTAAAGACAGCAGTGCAGTTTGATCCGGCCCTTCAGGCTCGTTGTCCCATCACCTTTATCAGGTAGTTATTCCCCCCAGCACACCACCCAGTGGATTACACCATGGTAAATACAATGAAACTGATAAAAATTAATGTGTGTGTGTGTCCCTCACAGGCAAGAGTGACCCCTTCTGTGTAGTGGAGCTCAGCAACGATCGGTTACAGACGCATACCGTGTACAAAAACCTCAACCCAGAGTGGAACAAAGTCTTCACGTTGTAAGTGTCAAGATCGCATACATACTGTACATCTGCGAGAGTGCTTGCATTTGCATATAATCACATATTTATAGTCTACCAAATGATGTATTTTTAAGCACACTACAATGCTGATAGAAGTATATAAAATACTGATTTATAAAAATAAAGCTAAATAATTGTACGTATGCATGGGGTATGATAATTATAGACTAAATAATGATTTATTTGCCAATAATTAAATTTGTAATGTATGTTTAAAATGATATCTCATGTGCAATTGCAAACCAAATAAAACAATAAAAATATCTGAGAATTTTTACCCATTATTTATTGAAAAAGCTTAATTATAAATTCTGTATTGATGAGCTCGATGATTTATAGAGATACATCTGAGAGCCGAGGATCACAGGATAATGTAGTCACGATTATTTAATTAAGCTTTGTATTGGTAGTTGGAAATGTGACATATAAGTTAACTTTGTACTTTAAGAAGAAAATGAACTTTTGTTCGAGATTACACTCCCTCTGCAAGTACAACCATTGTGCCGTTTGATAATGTCCCATACATAATTTCTTATATTAGTTCGATATCTAGAGGTTGTTCCATTGATGTTTTTTTTTCACAATCTTTCAATCTTCACGGCTGGAAATTCATTTGTGAATTCCCAGGGAAAGCTGGGTAATCTAGCCTCTCCTTGGAGCGCTCATCTCTTAAAGAATAACCTCATTTTCTTTCATTAGACTTCTCCTCTTTAGCCTACTTTTCAAAGATAGCATTTCAAATGGAGAATTGCAGCATCTTTTTTTAACCCCAGCACAATGGAGATTGTCACCAAGGATTTAGATGAATCACATTTTTTTGTCATGACTTGAAAGATCTTTTCAGTGTTTAATATTAGTCAATGACTTCTTCACCTACCTCTTTTTTTTTCTTTTTTTTCTTCAACTAGCAATGTGAAAGACATCCACTCAGTCTTAGAGGTGACTGTCTATGACGAGGACAGAGACCGAAGTGCCGACTTCTTGGGCAAAGTGGCTATACCCTTGTTAAACGTAAGTCCTGAGCTCGGAGACTTTCACTTACTGTACAACAATGAATCAGTTTGAGATTGGGGAAAGATTTTTTTCTTATAAATTCTTTGAAAAACAAATATGGCATGTATCTCACTTTTATTGATTTTAGTAATCATAAAGTAAGATGTAAAAGTAAGAGGCACACAGACAAAAAAGTTAAAAAAAATTAAATCAACATGACATGTCTAAACTTGAATATAATTTTGGTAATCATAGAGTAAGATGTGAAAGTGAGAAAACACAACAAAAGTTTTTAAAAAGCATACAATTTTTAGACCAGAATAATGTGCCTAAACTTTATTGATTTTAGTAATCATAGTGTAAGATGTGAAAGTGAGAAAAACACAAAGTAAAAAAAAAAGAGACCAACATGGCATGTTTCTAAAATGTATTGATTTGAGTAATCATAGAGTAAGATGTGTAAGTGAGAAAAACACTAGAAAAAAAAAAAGCCTACTAACAAAAACAGAGAAGAAAAGATAAGGGGGGACGCAATGTGCGCTCCCAGGCTGATTCCCCAGGATAGTTAATTTGCGGCTGACAGTGGTCGGGCCGTAATGAACAGGTACTTGTCAGAGCCGCCACAGTTGTTTTGGGCTCTCTGTCAGATGCAGCAGCTGGGGTTCAAAGGTCACATGAAGAGTGTATTCAGCTGGGTATTGCCAGACAGACGGCTGTCATGTCCCTCTCCCGCAGATCCAAAATGGAGAACGCAAAGCTTACGCCTTGAAAAGCAAGGAACTGACAGGGCCAACCAAAGGGGTCATCTTTCTCGAAATAGACGTGATTTATAACATTGTAAGTCCCACTCTCTTTTTCTCGCTTGCTTTTTTCTTGCGTTTTTCACTTCTTTATCTGCTCGTTCTCTTCAGCTTCTCCCGGGCTGTCTGTCCCCGTCCTTATTCTCTCTTTTAATTACTGAAGACTCCCCTTTCCTCAGCCTTTTATTTGTGCGTCTGTGTACCGCTGTGTGTGTCCGTCCGCCATTTTAGGCGGGAGTGTGAGAGAGCGTCACATGGTGTGGTGTGGTGTGGAGTGTGTGAAATGGAGGGATGTCTTGATATATGATTAGATCGTTAATGTGATCACGGTCACATCTTGAACTCGATGGTGGACTGTTACATTCAATTAGTTTATATGTTGCAGGTAAAAGCCGGCATGCGAACTTTGATTCCCATCGAGCAGAAATACATCGAAGAGGAGCCGCGGGTGTCCAAACAGGTAACAAGAACGCTTTAATCACACCTTTGTTGAAGATATTAATAAAATCCGCCCCAACACCAGTCGTAGACGGCAGCATCTTTCTCCTCGTCTTCTCCCTCTCTCTAGCTCTTTCTCCTTGTCTCTTCCTTCTCTTCTGGAGGTGCTGAATAGAAATGTCAAGCTGTCAACGCTGGGGGTGCATAAGTAGATTGGCCATCCTTTAGTTTGGACCTCAGTGGTTCTTCTGCTGTGCTTCTTTTTGTCACCCTGTTCAATGTCTCCCCCCATCCCCGACAAAGAGCTGAATTGTAGGGGTTGTCCCAAATCAGACCTGTCACTGAGACACTGCTTGGGACACACACACACAGACACACTCTATCTGTCAACGCAATAAAGCGCCGCTGAATGCAAGCTAGAAAGTGCCCACTCTGCACTTTTCGGTGTGAATTTGCCCCCGATCCAAACTGTTTGTGAGCGAGACGAGAAAGGCTGAACGGCGAGGGCAACATATCAAATCTATCTCCACAAGATTTACTTTTTCTTCTCGATACTGTCCCCTTCATAACCGTTGAAGCTCATTTTGTCGAACATCTCAGACATATTTTATTCTTTAGTAGTTTGATATTGTATTTCACCTCACATGTACTCTGATTAGTCCCAAATGAAAAACAAAATTGCCTACTTTAAAGGCATGGCCCGAATCCTACACTTCACCACAGTAAATGTGGATAGTTACCATGATCAAAGCCGTAGCATTATAAAGCCATTATGCGACCAGGAGCGTTTGATCTTCCTGTGAACACAGGAAGCAGCGGTCATTTGCAGTTCACCCGCTCCCAGAATCACGAAAAAGACAATTTTATTATAGGCATGACACAAAAAAATCAATAATTCTTTTTATGCTCCTAGAAAATCGAAATTAAATACGGTTTGGATTTCTCTTATTTACTGCACTATTTCGCTCTTGTATCATATTTTTGGTGTTATGCCTTAACAACATACCCTAAAGTAGTTTATCTTACTAACTGTTGAAAGTCAGTTATTTTAGTGATTTTGTTTTTTGGTAACACTTTTCAATAAGGTCTCATTTGTTAACATTAGTTAATTAACTACTTAGTTCATGCTAGTTAATACTAACATGTTAATTAACAATGAACAATACATTTGATACTGTATTTGTTCATCTTTGTTAACCTTAGTTAATAAAAATGCAGTTTGTTCATGTTACGTCACAGTGCATTAACTAATGTTAACAAATACAACATATGATTTTAACAAATGCTGTAGAAGTGCAGTTTATTATTAATTAATATCAACTAATGTAGTTAACTAATGTTAACTAGTGAAACCTTATTGTAAAGTGTTACCATTTTTTTATTGTAAATAATTGAAAATAAATAATGTCTAAAATTATGATAATGTAAAATTTATTATACAAACCACAGTTAAAATTTTGGAGGTTGGTAGGAATTTTTAAAAATGTTTTCTCTAATGTTTTCTCTCTTAGTCTCTAATGCTCTCCAAGGTTGCATTTATTTGATCAAAAAATGCAGTAAAAACAGTAATATTGTGACGTATTACAATTTAACTGTTTTTTGTTTTAGTACATTTTAAAATGTAAATTATTCCTGTGATGGCAAAGCTGCCATTACTCCACTTCACATGATGAAACATTTATTTTCAATGTTGAAAAAAAGTTGTGCTCCTTAATGTTGTTGTGGAAACAGATTGTTCCTCGGTAAACAGAAAGTTCATACAAACAGCATTCATTCATAAAAGTCTTTTATAACATTATAAATGTCTTTACTGTCACTTTTGATCAATTTCATGCATCATTGCTGAATAAAAGTATTAATTTCTTTCAAAACATTTGAACAGTAGTGTATGAAGTATAAATAATAAATAACGGAATTGTCCTTATTTTTGAAATCATTGGGAATCAATGTGAATGTGAAATGCTGTCTGGTTCTGACACTCAGATGCTGCTGCAGAACTTCAACAGAATGAGGCGCTGTATCATGTTCCTGATCAATGCTGGCTGCTATATCAACAGCTGCTTTGAGTGGGAGTCTCCTCAGAGGAGCATCTGTGCCTTTCTGGTAAGGACCAGTATGCATTCAACCACACCAACATTAACACACAGCAGCTCCAGAATGTATTTGGACACATTTATGTTTGACCACAATATAATTTCATCAAGTTAGAGCTAAAATAACATATATATATATATATATATATATATATATATATATATATATATATACTGTATATATATATATATATATATATATATATATACATAGTGGCCGGTTGCATAAACTTAGCCAATATGTTAAGACTGTGGCATAATATATATATATATTAGGGCTGTCAGTTAAACGCGTTATTAACGGTGTTAACGCAAACCCATTTTAATGGCGTCAATTTTTTTATCGCGCGATTTACGGTCTTTTTGGCCTAGCAAACTTTGTAGTTTGCAAAAATGCGGCGCTGCGCTATGAAACCCATTCATTTCAATGGCTTGTGCCGCGCGAGGACGTTTTGTTGCTTCGTCGACCAAAGCACAAGCGGATCTAGCTAGACCGGAAACAAAACAACAGGCACGACGCACACACTTGTTTAGGCTTGCGAGCCGGCCAAATAGTAGGTTAACATTACGTTTTGAGTGGATGACGAGCACGAGACGCCTCAAATGGATGCCAGTAAGATTCTGAATGGAAAGTTTACTTTTAAAAAGTTGCCAAATGGTTACATTGACAAGACCAAAGTGATCTGTGTGTTTTGTCGTTGTGAACTGAGCTATCGTCATCGCAGCACGTCCAGTCTGAAATACCACTTGAAGGCCAAGCACACACACACACACACACACACAGCTGATGTGAATTCTCCGCCCCCTCGTCAATATCAGGACCTCGTCAGTATTTCTTTCACCCTTTTATTGATGGACAGCGTTACATTGTGTGAGAGATTATTTGCTCCAAGTGAGAATGTTAGTGTGAAATTGAACACAGTATTTGCCAATGTTGTTTTCAATAAAAAACATTTGCACAAAGCAAGCCGATCCACTTTTCCATGTTGATAAGAGCATTAAAATGAGAAAAAATAATGGGACAAAAATAAATCAAGAGACATTTAGAATAGATAAAAATGTGCGATTAATTGCGAGTTAACTATGACATTAATGCGATTAATCGCGATTAAATATTTTAATCGTTTGATAGCACTAATATATATATATATATATATATATATATATATATTATGCCACAGTCTTAACATATTGGCTAAGTTTATGCAACCGGCCACTATATATATATATAATATATACTGTGTATATATATATAAAGTACCGGTCAAAAGTTTGGAAACATTACTATTTTTTTATGTTTTTGAAAGAGGCCTCTAATGCTCATCAAGCCTGCATTTATTTGATCAAAAATACTGTAAAAACAGGAATATTGTGAAATATTATTACAATTTAAAATAATGGTTTTCTATTTGAATATATTTGAAAATATAATTTATTTCTGTGATGCAATGCTGAATTTTCATCTGTCATTACTCCGGTCTTCAGTGTCACATGATCATTCAAAAATAATTCTAGTATGCTTATTTGATTTTCAGTTTTTTTTAATGTTGGAAACAGTTGTGCTGCTTGATATTTTTTTGCATCACATGTGATGCTTTTTTCAGGATTCATTAATAAATAAAAGTTTTAAAGAACAGCATTTATTCAAAATATAAATCTTTACTATCACTTTTTATCAATTTAACACATCCTTGCTAAATAAAGGTATTAATTTATAAAAAAATAAATAAAAAAAACCTTTCGAATTGTATAGTGTATTGTTAGAAAAGATTTCCATTTTAAATAAATGCTGTTCTTTTATTTCATCAAAGATACCTGAAAAAACTATTACCGTTTTTGGTAACACTTTATTTTGATGGTCCCTTTTGAACATTCTGTTGACTATAAGTAACTTTGCAACTACATGTCAACTACCTCTCATTAGAGTGTTAGTAGACTGTCTGCTTAATATCTGTCAACTCTTTATTGTGATGCTCCTCCAACAGACATTCTACTGACTATAAGTAACTTTGCAACTACATGTCAACTTATTCTATCCCGAACCCTACCAGTCTACTAATACTCTACTAACACTCTAGTGAGAGTTAGTAGAGATGTAGGTGCAACGTTACTTATAGTCAACTGAATGTGTTAAAGGGACCATCCAAATAAAGTGAAACCCATTTAAAAAAATAATAATAATTAAGCAGCAACTGTTTCCACCATTGATAATAAATCAGCATATTATAATGATTTCTGAAGGATCATGTGACACTGAAGACTGGATGGCTGATGAAAATTCAGCTTTGCATATACATCTCGTTTGCAGCAGATCATAACAGCAAAAGGGTGTTTTACTAAGTATTAAAGATGCTTGCCATGAAGGGGTTGAATAATTTTTAAACTGCAGAAGTCATTCAAAGTTCCATTTTCAGTTGAATTTGGGGAAACCACTTGAAACATTTGTTGTGTTGAGCTATTTCAATTACTATTTGATTTGCAAACAGCTGAAAGTCTGTAAATGTTGCCAATAAACCTGATTTGCAATGAGGGTTGAATCATTTCAATTACAACTTTATAGAATATCAGAGCATTGAATATGTGAGGAGTTAGGTTCCAAAACGCAATAAACTACTTTTATTTTTTTTTAGTTCCCGCAAAAATCAGTATTGCATCTGGTCGGTATTGAAAAGTACATTTTTAATTTGACGTAAAATGCGATATCCGCCGTATTATTCTGTCATGTTTTCTCCCTTTCTTTCCAAACCGCGACAAACGCCAGTCTCCCTTCTCTGCCGAATGCGATACATCCGCTCAACCAATCACAGCGCACCATTCCACGCATTGTAAACAGTAACGGCGGCGCTTTGAATACACCCGGCATCCTAGTTTTCCTTATCTACTTTGTACTTTGTGATCAACAAACAAACAAAAAAATGAATAATTTTGACGGCATTGATGAACCTGTGGTGGTTATTGCGGTGGGGAAGAAACGTAAGCCATTGAAATCTAATCATTTACGTGAGGAGATTGAGAAGATGAGGCAAAAATGTCGGCTGTTGCTTGTTCTCACACGACAGCGTCAAACTTCTGTCACGCTGACACATTGACCCTAGGGGATCTTTTGAAAAACTTTAAATTGATTTACTCAAAGTCAACAAAAACCGAGCAGGACCAAGCCATTTTACAGCTGATCGCCGTCAAAAAAAGTTCAGCGGCCGGTGACGTCCGGCTGATTGAATGCATTTTTAGTTCAGTGCCTGTATAAGATTAGTATTGACCAAGTTCAGAGGCTGTCATATGTGGATCAACTTACTTTGTTGTGTATTTTCAACAGTTTCAATATGAAAAATATTACTTTTATATTGATTAAATGGATTAAATGCATTTTGAAAAAAAAAAAAGTGTCATGGATTTATTGAAGAAATAATCCGTTTTTATAATAAATCTTTGAAAATCAAAATCTGGATTTGAATTTTTTTGTTATTATAACCTAAAGATGCTATGTGAAAGTTTGAAACAGAAAATAGTGGTTTTCATCTTGCCACTTTCTTGGTAAAGAAAACACATTTTTACTCAAATTAATCAAATGGATTCATCGCGTTTTGGAACCAAACTCTTCATGTATTGGATAACAAAATACCAGAGTGGAATCTAGTTAGTCACTTTTCTGAGGCATTTTTGCAACCAATTCATTCCAAGGTAATTTTTAGTATATGTATGAAGTAAGTTCTCCTCAGTTTACACGTATCCTAGAGTAACCAGAGGTCATCACATTAACTATGAACATGATCCATTAACATTTGACAACCAGAAAGTGTCCGGATGCATTTATCTTCATTTTTGAACAGTATGTATTATAATTTGAAACTATTTTTTGGTGAAATGTATTGCTTCAAAAGTGCATTTCTTCTTTAAAATCTTTCTTAAAAAGCATTGTCACTTTGCTTGATATTTTGTTTCTAATGCAGTGATTTTTCAAACATTTTAAGTGTATCGTAAGTGCTCAAATACTTTAACATGATAGTGTGACAGGTTCTGTGGTGATCGATTGGTTTACGTGCACACATTTCTCATCTCCACTTCTGTTGTGTTAAAGATGTCCAGAATTTTGCCCATTTGTCTTTGACAGTCTCCAGCACTCCTCTCAGTTCTCCAGTAATGCACCGGCATCTAGGGTGTAGTCGTCTGAATTCACGAGCGTCTCTTTCACCTTCAGATTGTAATTGGACAGTTGAACCTTCATAAAAAGGACACCCTTTCTGAGTGGGCCGTGTGACTAAATGCTAGCACAGGACATGTTGGCTAATGTTTGCCTGTGATGCTGCATAATTTGCTGTAGGCCCTGTCTGTTTCAGGACTCGCGTGTCTTTAAGTGTTGCTGGGAAAGCCATTAACATTTGCTGCTTGACACATTTTAATTTAAGTACACCTCCGAAAGCAGAAGCCGAGGGCACATGCGTGAGTGGAGGGACAGCTGTATCGATCAGCTAACATTTTAGTTGAACATTTCTTTTTCTTTTTTCTTCATGGTTGTCGGGGGAAAAACACATCAATGAAAATGTCAGAGGAAGAAATGTCAAGAGATTTGAGGAGAGTAAAAACAATTACATTACATTTGTTCTTTATGATCAAATGCTATTATAAAAATTATTATGCAGTCAAATTCGGTTCAATATGTCTGACCTGAACTACAAAAGTAAAAAACAAAACAAAAAAAAACATTATTAATAATAATAATAATAATAATAAAAGTTGTTGTTTTTTGTATTGCCTTCATAGCTGTCTTAATAGCGGTAATGTTATTCTTTGCACTCTAAATCTCCCTCCTTAAGAGCTCTCTTAATCATCACACTGATTTCTTTCTTTATCACCAGCCATCTGGTTCAGGTGAGCCTTCACTGCTGCGCTGAGACACACATCTGTGCCGTTCTGTCAGCCGCTGACAGTTGTAAGCCAAAAGAATACAATAGTCAGACACCGGCAGAGGTGATTTCGCATTCACGACTTGCAGAACCTCCGGTGCTTGCC